GCGGGCTTTGTGATGCGCATGGAGGACAACCGCCTCCCCAAGCGCATGCTATTAGGAGCGATGGCGGGGGGCGTGGGATACCGGTGCGGGCAGGAGAGCGACTGAGTGTCTCGTCTAGGAGAGGACCTCTTGGCCTTCAACATGGGAGACGAAAAGGAAGGGGCGAAATGGAAAGAGGGCGCGAAGGATCCGGAGGTATGGTAAAACAAGGTCGAGGACGGGGCGACATGGTCCATGAGGAAATGGCACAGGCAGAAGGCGGAAGCATCCGCGGAGCGCCCGCGCGCGAGGGAAGCAGAAGCAGAGAGTATGGCCATCTCAGGACCGAAGAGAAAGCGAGTCGGGGAGGCGGCGGTGGGGGGGAAGAAACGGCGACCGGGCACTGATGTAGAAGCGAGTAGGGCGGCCGCGGCAGCACTTGTGGCGAACTATGTAGTACCCGGTTGATGTTGTTGCGCCCTGTTTCCCTCCCTGCTGTATGCTATACTCCTTTATGTATGTCCTTTGTAGTGCCTTCGGCCTCTGTGCTGTGTTCTTTTTTTCATGTCCTCCCTGCCTACGTGCTGTGTTGGGTACCTTGATCTCGCTTTTGCTGTTGCTTTTGTTTTTTTTTACGTCTGGCTGTCTGCTCATCTGCCGCCTCTTTGTCCTGTTTGCTCCGTTACTCCCATGCCCTGGTGCGTAGTGTCTGCTGCTGGTACGTTACCCTTTGATTTTTCTTTAGGCGGGTGTGGGAAGCGTCCTCCTTGATTTCTGTTTCTGTTTGATTTTGATCGGTTTCCGAGGGCTCTTTTCTCGAACCGTCGGTGCGGTACCTGTTCCTTTAATTTAAATATTGAATCTAATTGACTTTTAGTTTAAAGTCGCGTTATCTAAATTTAAAATTACTACTGCACCTAATACAAAGTGAAATAAGAATATTTAAAACTTATTTTAAAACTAATATGTAAAGTAAGTATTAAGATATTTAATTTATTTGATTAGAAAAAATTCTTTTTTTATAGGAGTTTTTTCCGCGCGCGAAGCGCGCGTGCGAAAAAAAACGGAGCGACAGCGGAGTTTTTTTTTCGCAAAAAAACTGTTTTAGATGGGTCCTTTTTGTTTCCCCGCCTGGGTTCTGCGCACGTTGAATAACACCGCCTGTCAGCCCGACCCCTGAATTAATTACTGTTCTTAAATAATTGATGTCCGTGTGTGTGTGTGTTCGCACCACCTTTGCACCGATAAACAAGCCGTTTGAGGATCGTTTTCGGTGCGGAAAAGTGCACAAGCTGTAGCGTAACAAGGCCATCATTCCGCACCCAAGCGTTTCTCATTTCGTGCCCGCGTCGCTGCGTTCGGTGCCAATATGTACTCTATTCACAATCCGTTTCATCGATAACTGCGCCAATTGGCGACGTTCTGCAAAAAAAACGAGTGCCCAAGCCTACTCCTAATAGGTGAACACTTCTCGCGTCGTTGTTTCCTTGCACCAACCCCTACGTCACTCGTTCTCACCCGGTTTGTCCTCTCTTTGCGGCGTCCCTCAACTGTCATATGGGACGAGCTGTATGGGACACGTGTGTGTCGGTTTGGTTCTGCTGCTACGTGTGTGTCGGTCGGTTTGGTTCTGCTGCTGCTGTGTTCTTTTTTTGACCTCGTCCACACCGAGTGGCCAACTTTGGCACGTGTTCAGACCAGCTACCACGCATCTCCTCCTCTAGACTACAGCTCGCGGCTTTCACTATCTGCATATCACAGAGGGTGTTCGCGTGTGGTTGGCAGACCACGACAGGTCGTAGTGAGGAGGGGCTCGCGATCGGCGACAAATCGCGTGCTAGTTCAAATATTCTCCTGCTGCTGTGTTCTGAGTGGTGGGGCATTTTTTTCTTCTTCATTTATTAACGCATACGGAGTGCTGACAACAACGATTCGCATCAACAACATCGCATCAACAACATGTCGGGTGTGTATACCAAAACAAAAGCAACACATATTCACGGGGGGCGCACGACCCAGCCTACTGCAGGTACTTTCCGCAGCACGGGTTATGCTGTTGTGATGGTGCGCGCGGAAAAAACTCCCCCCCCACTCGGGGTCTAGTATCTTTTAGAAATACGTCTAAGATAGAAAGGCATGAATCCATAGCGTGAGCGAAAGGCTACCTGTATTTTGTTTTCTTTTTCCGAGCGGCGTATGTGCCGGGTTTTGAGACCACGGGCTCCCCATTTTTTGTGGACTATAGAGCTAATGTGAGAAACAACAACAACAACAACAACAACCACAGCATTGTAAATCGTAACGCCTCCGGTCACATTCACGGGGCAGGTCCGCACAGTCCCGTGGTTCGCTGTCGGCGCGACCGCCATTAGCACGAGACAGACACGGACAACCTTTACCCTGCTGCGCGCTGCGGCTGTCGGGGACCTCGGCTGAAGGGCATAGCGCGCGGGACGTGCGGACATGTCCTCGTTATCTGACGATGTGAGGCCGCAAGCTGATAGCCTTGAGCATGATTCGTCGGAGCACCTCGTCGCGCGACCGGCAGAGCCCGTCGAGGGACAGTGTGGTGTTTCTGCAGCTGCTGCTACGGCCGATTGCTGTGGCAAGGGCGATTGGAACGAGTCCGACGGCGAGGTATACGACGACGAGGATGACGAGGACGAGGAGCAGGAGGAGGAGGAAGTCGTCATGGACGAAGAGGAGATGCTACGAATGCTAGACAAGGTGAGGTACTGGTAGTTTGTAAATGGCATCCCACCTGTTCTGCTGTCATTCCCCATGAACATGTTTACTGGGCCAGGAGGAGTACGGGAGTACATTCTGTGCTTAGAGGAATGAAGAGAGGGACAAGAGTGTTTGGCGTGGAAATGGTGCGACAGAAAAGCATGTACGGAGCTCTNCTCTCTCTCTCTCTCTCGCTCTCTCTCTCTCTCTCTCTTATATTCCTGTAGAGCTGTCTGCGTTTGGTCGTCGACTCACCAAGCAGCCGGATGCAGCAGTCTGTTGCAGTCGCCCCGTTGACGCGCGAGGCTGAACCACCCGAGGTCTGGTACACGAACGCGCATCACTCTCTCGGTGATGGATGACTCACACCGATCGATTCCCGTCAAACGACGGACCGCGCACAAGCACGTTGAGAACAGCAGACATTCTTTTTAGCAGCACAGCAGTACGGGGCTCACATGTTGCCCAGGTATCAACCAGGGCGAAAAGCAGTGATTGAGACTCTCTATTGGCACGTTGGCCAGCTGCAGCCTCTGCTGTTGTCTGTGGCCCCTGCACCTATTTTTTGCATCTGGCGAACAAAGTTACCGCACACATTGGCTACAGCACGGCCCTGTCCCTAAAAGAAAGCGAAAGCAAGACTTTCGGCAGCACCTCCTGTCACCCCGCGCGTGGTGCATAGATGTGTTTCGCCACGCCACCAATCTCTAGCATGGACCGATACTCCCGCAGTATCCTTCGTTGTTTGAGCAAGAGGTATTTCGTACGTACGTGTCGTTGGATGCAATGTTTCCGCACACCTAACAGGTATGAACACCGGCTCAATTGCGTCCACGATTACTCCACCTGATGCACCTTGTTTTCTCTCAGTATTCATGTATAGTGGTCCGCAAAAAACGTCGAGGTTCAGCGTCTGCTTCATCCTTGTGAAACGCAGCCTAGGCCGGCCAAACCCGGCATGTTTCTCCGCTCCGGCTTTGAAGGGACACGAGGTCAAGGGTCTAACCACTAAAGCGTACGTTTACATGAGTTCACCCCCCCCCCCNCCCCCCCCCCCCCGCGTGCTACCGGTGTTAGATGGAGCCCCCGCTGTCAGTATGCCAGCGGCTCCTGAAGGATGATGGTGGAGGCGATGGGCCTTGGCTGGTGCTTTCCGACAGCCAGCGCGCGTCGCTCAGCCAACGAGGCTTTACGGTACTGGATAGGCTCGCTCCCGCCAGCCTTGCCGCTGATGCCTACGATGAGGCGAGTTTCGTTTTGTGCACCACGGAGAGGGAAGACAGAGATACCCAGATTGAGAGAGAATCAAACACACGCAGATAGAGGGAAACAGAGATAGACAGACTGAGCAAGAATCAAACACACACACCGAGGGAGACAGATGCGTTCAAGGTGCTACTGGCACGCGCATCTTTCTGCTTCTCGGAGGGATCTCCGTCGTAGGAACAGTCGAGGGGCTCCGTATCTGCCTGTTGAAACTTGCTCCCTGCATGCCTGGTACAGCAACCCCCGACGATGCCACCAGAGGAAGCCTACGAAACATCGATGGTCGCGTGGGCATTGTCTTCATGTTGGCAGGATCGTCACTAGATCGTTTTGCACCCCAGTTGGGGTGTTAACTGGTTGCTGCTGTGCCGTCAGGGCAGTAGTGCAAAAAGTAAATTTTCGGCGATTGTTTACATCGGGGCGGTGGTCCTCTGTCGGGCGTTTGGCGGAGGCGCTTTAGTTTGTTTTGCCGCAAAGGGAGGAGTCAGGCACGAGCATACCCTGAGAAAGCTGGCGCGGCCGCCGCCTTCTGTCTCTCACGACGAAGGTTTTCCACCTGCTAGTTCGGCTCGGCCTATCTCTGTCTATTCCCGATGATGACGTCGGCGTGGTGAAGCCTTGGGTTCGATTCTATCAACAGCTCCGATCGACGTCTGAGACACTACTGTCTCCACCGTTGCCACGTGGGGTCTTCCTCTCCGTGAGGGCGCCTCTCCGTGGGAGCGCCGCGTCGTGAACACCGATGGGCGTACCATGCGGCCACCGTTCATGGCAGCGTTCCGGCCCGAGCTTTGCTTTCCACGNCCCCCCCCCCCCTCGATTTCCGTGCTCACCCTAAGGTTATCGCACGCGGTGTCTTGACGACCACGCTTCACCCCCCCGTGTTTCCCTTCATCGCAGGCTATCGCCAGAGCCGCCTCAGGGGTCCTGGCCCCTGCCCATGGTAGCAGCGGCGGCGGCGCCAGGAGCATCAACGGCGGTTGTGGTCACGAGACCAGCGAAGGAGATGGCGCTCTCAACGAGGAAGGCTTGAAGGACGAACATGCTCCGGCGGCGGCGCCGGGGCTGACTGGCTACGTGAAGTCGGTGCGCGACGACCTCACGGCCTTCGTCTCGTCCGAACGAGAGGCGGGGAGAGGCGCCCGCGGGGCCGCCGAGACCGGCGCAGTCGGAAGGACTCTTGCTATCCTGGCGAGGCTCGGGGAGGATTTAGGGCGGATGGTGCGGCTCAGGGGCAGGGTGGAGCACCAGGTAGGGGATCGCTGTGCTATCGCCGCCGTTGGTAGTTGTTCTAGCGGTATCGGTGGTGTGAAAAACCGATTGACCAATGAAAACTCGTCGTGTTGGGGGGGTGAGTGGGAAGAAGAAATTCTCCAACCGTTTGGCTTGAGGGGTTGAGGTTTGTTGAGGGGCGCATCGTTCGCTCCTGGGTGTTGCTATCTCGCCCCCCCCGGCGGCAAAGCTGCGTCCGCTACTTTTTGTTGAGCTCGGTTTCGGCGGACACCTCATCGTATTCGCGTGTCTCCCTCGGAGCGGAAGAGTGTTCGTACACAAACAAAGGGCGTCTGTGCTTCAATAAGATTCCTTGAGGGCGACCCACTTTCAATTCACACTCATATAAATGTTCGCCCCCTACCCCCCCGGGGGTAATGGTCGAGTAGACAATGTTGGGCAGGGTCGAGAACCCTCACCCCGCGGGAAGGGGATGATCGCGTCACGTTGTGTTAAAATGGCCAAGCACCCTCGAGGCAGATAGACAGTGCTCATAACTGTCTCTGGAAGTGAAAGCACCAGAACTTAAAACTATGTCATTCGCAGCTGTATCCGTATCAAGAGATAGAACACCGTTAGCAGGATGCAGCGTACCCTCCATGCGACTCACCGAATACCTCACGGCGCTTCGCGCTTGGTTATGTGAGAGCCTAGTCCGGCGAGAGTCCGGCGCGCTCCGTCCCGGCTTTGTAGGGATGCAAGGTCAATGGTCTAACGACTACGGCATGCACGGAAATGAGTCCCCTCCCTTGTGTAACCAATCTCTGGTCCACTTTGTGAAACGCAGCCTGGGCTGGTGAAAACTTGGTACTCGCTCCGTCCACTCTTTGTCCGGATGCAACGTCGATGGTCTAACATCTTCGATACGGCATGCGTTCCCATGAGTATCCCCCCCCGCTGATGGCATCACCCCCGTGGTTGTGCCGCATGCAGCTGGCGGTGTACCCGTCCGGGATCGGTGCGCGCTACGAGAGGCATCGGGACGCCTACCCAGACGATGGCGAAGAAGATTACGGTACGCAAGCGTGGGAGAGCTTGTCGTTTCCCCACCATGCTTTGCTCTTGCCCAGCAAGCACGGGACCAATTCTCCTGTTTGGCCTGCCTCTTGTGTGACTCCGGCTGGTGCACCCAAAAAATTGCTCCCAGCGGTACAAAGACCGACGCTCACAATACATGGAATGACAAGAAAAAGGGAGGGGGGGGGATCACTCAGGTATGTTGTCTTCACATTAATAACCATTCCGATCTCTCTCTACCCAGTACCTTCGTATGTCCGTACTGATCCAACACTCGACGCGGTCGATTCCCATGGTCACAGGTCAACTTACCCTCAAAAGGTACACTCAAATGTACTGGCCCCAAGGGGTCCGCAAGTCAAATCGAAATGAACGACAGATATTCTGGAGTCCTCCACTCCCTCTGCGCGCTATACGAGGTAACAACTGAGACTAGGGGTCACCATCACGGGCCGGAGAGAATGAGGCACACCCCCTTGATTCAATGTTGGTACTTCACAACGCAAGCAGAGACGAGGCCAGCTGGCACAGAAACAGTGAGAAAAAAAGCGAGAAAAAAAGAAAACAGAAAATAATACGGGCGTCTCAAGAAGGACTGCCTCGCTGTCGCTGTTGGTTTCAGACCAGTGCGCGATTTGCCAGGTGATGCCCCCATTGCCAGGTAGGTGCATCGCTTGACCGTTCACGATAGATTGAATCTGTGACGACGACCATGTAACGCCAACTGCTTGATCGATCAACCCCGCCAATCAATCCACAGACGAAGACCCTCCGGCCGCAACCGATGGCGAGGTAAATGCTAACCATAACACCAAAGCGGAAGAGGCAGAGGGAGCAGACGGAGGCAGCGTAAGCTTCCGCAGGATAACCGCAATCTGCTACCTCCGCCGGAACGGGACCCCGTGGCAGGCGTCCGACGGGGGGGCCCTCCGCCTGTACCCTCCCACCGCGTCACCCCTCGCTCAAGAAGAGGAATGCGACAACGGCAGCAGCGGCGAGGTTGTGTGCAAGCTCGCCTCCCGGCTCGATTTTGAGGCAGAGCAAGAGGATCGCCGACAGCACCAGCAGCAGCCCGACACCCGAGGCCCCTGCTCCTCGGACGCCGCCGCCGCCACCGGTGGCAGAGACAGAGTAACAGGCGACGACATTGATGACGGGCGCGCCGGCGGTAGCAGCAGCTGCCGTACCTCTTCGTGCCGCAGTGGTGCCGGAGCGAAAGGTGGTAGCACCGGCGGTGGAGATATTTGTCACGTTAGCGGCGGGGGCGGCGGGGGCGGTAGCGTCGCCACTAATACGGGTGAATCAGCCAGCAGCCGAGACGATTGGGCAGGCGACGGTGCTCATGATTCAGCTGCGGGAGGTGGTGGTACTAATAGTGGGGGCGACGAGACCGGTGGCGAGGGGACCCGCCAGGGATTCGTCGATGTGCCCCCCCTCGCCGGACGCGCGGTCGTTTTCTTCAGCGGCGCCGTGGAGCACGAGGTCCTGCCGGTCACGGGACAGTTGCCGAGGGCGGCCTTGACCACTTGGTTTCACTAACTACGGCAGGAAAAACGACCAACGGACAAAGCGGCGGGTTATCTCCAACTTGCTTTTCATCAGTGTCGACTTGGTTTGTGTCTGTCTCTAGGACAGATTTCCGAGTCCTCGTGTTTGTGGTATTGGTGTCAAGTGTTGGTGTTGATTAAATTGGTTTCCGAGATCTTGGGTCTGTCGATGCTGGTCTTCGTTTGGGGCTTTTGGGTTTTCAAGTATCGTGTCGTCGCGTAGTTTAACTGGTTTGGTTGTTTGTGCTTGCCGACTCTCACGATATTAGTGATCGTGGTTGGATTATGACGAGCAACGTGGAGCAACTTATTTTCGTCTTTTTTTGTACACTCCTTGCTGGAACGACCGCATGTGTACGTTGTGCAGTGATCAAGCCCAGTGCACTTCGAAGTCAATGTACCAGCATCTCTTGCTGCATGGCAGCACCAAGGAGTCGGACAAGGCGGCTCGGTGGCAAATACGTTCGGAATTAGAGTATGGCTTGTTGCATCCTTCCTGTGGTTTTCGTTGGGTGAAAGAAAACACAACTGTCATGTGTTTCTTGCCAGGTCAGGCGGCGAGGGCTTCCCGCACTGTAGACTTGTCGGGCTCTTTCCGCAGCTCCTGGTGGCGGGGTAATCGACCTTTGAAAGTCGGTCTAGGAGAGGTCCCATCATTCTGCCTCTTACGGAGTACGTGGCTGTCACACATGTATTCTCGTACTTGTTGCTGTAGTTGTGTTAGACTAAAGGAAATTCTCAAGAGAGCAGCAGCGGTGGCTATATCTGGCCCGTATCCATCCCTGGAAAGAAGCGGGTGATGGGATCGTTCCATGGGATCGTTCCATGTGTCAGAGTGAACGGGGGATCTACGAGTGCTCGCTTGGACAGGAAAGGACACAATCAAGAAGTAGGCCTAATAACACCTTAGCCTGGGAAACGAAAACGTAACCCGTGAACAACATGGCCGTTACCGTGTACAACTTCAAACAAAAATATACTCAGGTCTTTGCTTCGCACAGAATTGGTTTGTTCGAAGCCCTCCTCTGCTTCTTATGTATATCTACTACGCATGCGCCCAATGTACGCATCCTAAATTTCTAAACCAGCAACATTGTGAGAATCTTTGTCCGTGCAGTTTCCCTGTCAGTGCACGAAGCTCTCTCGAAAACAAAACAGAATGTCACAGGCCCCGAACCGTCGACTCACCCACGTTGAACAACAATCTCATCAACATCGTCGCGCTATCTGCCGCTTCCCCTCTTAAAAACTAACAATAATCTGTGTATTGTCGCAGATTTCACTCACTCACCACCATGTCCCGACAAACACGGAACCTCCAACATCCACATCCTTCGACTTTCCGGGAAGCGAGCAACCCCAAGATGTCTCACTTGGCTCCCAGTAGCAAACGCACCCAGCACGCCATTTTACTTTTGTGTCGAACGTCGAATCTAATTCCGGGCATGGTTTGACCATGAGTTAACATGGTCAGGACCAGTCGCAACATTTTCTCTCCGGACCTGAACAAATAACGTCGAATATAGTCAGAACAGAAACGAGGCACTTTCTGACCGTTTTGATCCTACGCGTGGCCTGCGACACACAAGCGCGAGTGGAGCGAAACAGCTGGAGCTCCGCCATGTCAGTTCTGCCTTTCCTTAGTTCCAACAGCGAAATATACAGAGCACCCGCTTGTTAGGAGATGCCTCTACTAGGGAAGGTGAGCATCATCTGATCAGAGACCGGCGCCCAACGGTCAAACTCTAAAGGACAAGCAACAAATAAAAATTGTCCCCCCCTCCGTCCGCGTCATGCGCAATGTTTCATCCCCCCCAGGCACCGGCCTTGGGAACGTTCGTCATTCCTGACGTTACAGCTCGACCCCCCGGGGTGAATAACAAAAGTGTGTGCACGCGGGGGTGGGGGGAAATAAACGGCTTTGCCAAGAAGAAACCTTCTCTTTAGCGCGGGCGGGGCCATCCGCGTATTTCTCGATCACCCCGTGGGCAACACTCGGACCAACGCTTGCATCCCCTGCACCGAGTGCGCTCTGCAGAATTCGGTCTCCTCTCCCCCCAGTCCGTAGACACCTACGACGGGCGGCTGCAGGCAGGCTTTGTAGGAGCATCTGGCGCTGTGCAAGGTATGGGTAGGGACCACCACAACGAGGCATGA